GATATTAAGTCCAAGACTGATGCAGTATGGTTGGATCGGGATAATAACGATCAATTGCGATCTACATGTGAAAACAAAATCTTTTTGTGATTATAGAAGACATAAATGTATTTAATGAGGGAAAATCATCAAGTTAGATTAATGTGTTATGTGTATTGCTATTGTTTCTGTTCGAAACAAATGTTGGAAAGAACTCGGGCACTATTCCGTACTTCTATTTTTTTTTCACTTATCACATTTCAACGACGTAGACGACTCTGCATTATAATTTGAAAAGTTTTCCTTCTTTGGCATTGGAAAGTTCCTTTTGCAAAAGTAAACCGACTTTTTAAGGCTTCTTATGTAAAATTGGAATGTTTTCCTAGGAAAAAAATTAAACTTGTAAGCCTTAATGATACAATGGTATCGTATAGTAGAATATTTGATTATGTTATTATTTTTATTTATTTATAATGTTTTCACTTATCGTTTATTAATTATGGGCAATGAAGGTTTATTTTAGATAATGAAGGAATATTTCCCCTTTCCTCGTAAGTTTAGAAAAGATTTATTTACTGAGACATTCTAGATTTACATATAAGATTTGAAGGTCAAACACTCTACCGTTAGACCAAGATAAAGATACTGATTTGGACTTTAGATGTACTGTATTATTATTAAATGTTTTGTTTTGCATTCTGGTTATTTGTGAAACTTGTTTAATTGTGTAGAAATAAAGTTATCAATAGAATGACAAAGAAATACTCTGACAATGATATTTTCGGTAATTCAATTTAGATCCTTGGCTAATAAATTACTTTAATAACATAACTTTTTTTTAGACTTTATATATGGTTCGTCATATTTTCAAGGGAGACTTTTATGGTTTCAGTATATTAAATAAATTATAGTATGTTTATAACAATTTTTTTTTATTCAGCAGTATGACTTCAATGTTATTATAAAGCAGGAAACATTGCAAAGTATCACATGTGAATGAATTGTTATAGTTTGTAATAAGAAAAACATGATACAATTGCAAAAGCAAAACAAAATAAGTGAGAGTTCATCGTGCAATTATTCCCTTTTTTCATTGGCTCCAACACAATCTTCTTTTTATAATGAAAAGTAGTTCATAAAAATAACACTTCATTAATTTTGTGAGTCTGAAGGGCTTTCTCTGGATTTACAGTTATCAAGAATGCTCAAACCCAAACATTTGATAGCCTAGGATGTATAAGTACCGATTATCAGGTTGTCTGTATGTTGATATTGTAAAATATCAGCTGCGAGTCACAATATGAAGATTTTTGTCGAGTGAGCGCAGCGAACGAGAACAAAAAGCCTTCATATTTTGTCGAGCAGCTGATATTTTACAATATCAATATGCAGATAACCTGATAATCGATTTATCGGGCTGTATTTGCGTCATTTGGAAGTGTTTTCTTAGTTTCACAAGCAACCGGAAGTTCGCTTGATAAGTTCGGGTCAAACTTATCAACGTCGGTTCAAACATTAGGACGTCGCTGATATTTCCGGGTCAAAGTTATTAAGGCCGGGTCAACGTGATATGGAATAATATTAAGAGCTGAGAATAGTGATATAGACATTGGGACGACCGATAAGACTTTATATGCAAGATCCTCGTTCACCTTAACTTAAGAACAACTGCAAAAATTATTATGACTATGTCACCGATTGTGTTAGTTGTTTAACTTATATGGTAAGGTTTGTTGTTCAATATTTTACTGCAACGAAAACAAAATAGTTGTCAAAAGAATTAAACATATTAGGGCGGAACAAACTCACTAAAAATTTATTGGTTGAAGTAGAAAACAACAATTCAGACAATATGCAACATTTCAATTATTTTCATGAAGGCGAAGTAAGTCCTATGTTCATTATCGTTGTTAGGGATGGAGGGCGGAAACATTGTACGAGACAATAAACAAAAGTTCGAAAACGTAAAGATTTCCAAATCAGTATAATATACTGTTAACTAGAATTTAAAAAGGCGGAGTTACGTTAAAGGCCTATACTGTTGGATTCAATTGCTATCTGAATATTGACCAAAATATATGTATTTATAAAGATAACACCTAGAAGGACCTTATACCTAGGTTTTGACGTTACAATTGCTTTCATTATGTCTTCAAGAATTAAAACTGTATATTTTTGTTTTATATTACCTCAATTATCGGAAGTCTTAAATCCAAAGAAAAATCTTGCGATAAAAAATTTAGCCGAATAAGACCTTTTTTCATGTTTTTTGCACGGTGTCTTTGAACACGCATTCTAACAGTGTCTCATCTGAACCTTTTGAACTAGTTCTAAAATAGTTACTTGAACTTGAGCTCTAACTAATACTTGAACTCGAACTCAAAATCTTACCCTTGCTCCATATCGAACACAAGGGTTAGTTACAATCCTTTAAAACAGTGGGTCTGAATCTACTAGAAGTTATAGCAAATAAAGAAAATTACTCTTCTTTTTCTTACTGCCGACATAATTATTCTCGGAATATATAAACGAAATTTATTAAAAGATTTTTTAAGTTAAATTTACTCGTAAGGAATAATAGGTCAAACATAACAACACTTTTGAGTTGGAATCAACGTGCTTTGATTTGTATTGAGAGTTTTAAATTTTTCATATTTGGTTTAAAATTTCTTAATATATATCGAATCAGCGATGTTTATGGCATAATACAATAGCATTTGAATCGGTTTATCGTTTGAATTCTTTTAATCTTATTCTGATGACGGAGTTTTTATAGATGACTATATTGTATGCTTCTTTTAAATTTTTTTGATGGAAATAACACGCGTGTAGGAAACCTCCACATCAACCTATAAAACGCAATTGGAACCAAAATGATGTACTGTGCAAGATCTGCATTATTTCTACTCCGTAATTACATTACACATTTATGATAACAAAAAAGAGGGGCATAAAGAAGATAATTACGAAATGAAAAAAATTATCATAAAAGCCTACGTACATCAAAACTTTCAAAACCTATTAAAACATGCTCTTTCGATAATGTTTGTTATGGCAGGGATACAGTTGGTAGTGTTTCCTATTGCTAATATTCTTGAATTAGAAACTATTCTTTTTTGATTCGGGGATGTGGCACATATAATACTTGTTCATTGACTGATGGACAGAACGAGGACAGATGATAAGTGTATATACACTAAACAATCAAAAGTAAGTGAAAATAAAACTAAGTATAATTCTTTACAAATTTATGGAGTTATGGAGCCATTAGCAGCTGATGATGAAGTAAGTATGTGGCAGCTGTACTAACCTCAATCAGTATAGCTCGGTTAAGCTAAATCTTGAACTGGAAGCCTTTCCTCATTATTTTGATTGCATTTCCTTAATATTATGAGAAAATTTCGATAGTTATTAATCACATTATTAATAAATTTTATAAAAAATAGTTTAAAACGTATCACTCTAATCAATTAATAAATGAATATAAATAATTGTTTTAATAAACAAATGTAAAGTACTAAAATCTAATAAATTTAACTAATGTAATTATTTAACATGCAATCAAAAAACTATTAATAAAAGTAAAATTATTAACAACATTTTACTACACGTATTTAAATTAGCAGGATTTGCTTACCTTTATTTATTTCGACTTTTTTTTTCAACGGGTCAATGTGTTGTCCTTCATGTAATCATACATATCTTGTTGCAAATGCAACATGTTTTTCCAGAGGTTTTGCATACTGACGCTTAATCTTCACCGTCCAATTTATTAACGAATAGGTATTCTTCATCAAAAGAGATTTGAATTGTTGTTCCATTTCAAAATTTTATTCATTATTTGATTTATTAAGTGTCATGTAATTTAAAAAAAATTGTAAAATACTTAAAAATACTTCTCAAACAACACCTGAATTTTTAATATGATTGATTTAATTTAATTTTTTTTTCAATAAATAATTTAACAAAATTCGGGGAAAACACATTCTTCTTTTACAATTTCAATTTCAGATCTGTACTTTGCCAATACTTTACCAACTGTTGAGCACAAACACACTTGATTGGCTTATGAAAAAAAGCCGATTGTATTTGAAAATAAAAAATATTAAATAAATTAATAGTGGAATAAATATTGGTTTATCTTAATTGAAATTAATCGAGTAGTTTCGTATTGTGTTTCTCTATGCATAATTCAATTTCAAATCAATATTATGGACGTTGAGGTACAGAACTGTTATTGCGACAGAAAATTATGTAAGCATCAACATTTGTGTTTTGTATTTATATTTGTTCAGCTGTCGTTCTTTAAGTTTGTTTTTTTTTTTTTGTTAATTCAAAACAATTAATACTTGATATAATAAAAACTCAGTTTATTTCAAATACGCGCAGTACTGTAATAGTTTTACAATAATAATGACCATGCATTGGTTCCGTGCAAAACAGCTGTGTCTTTTGATGTCAGTTGAAATTTGTACAGGTGAGTTTATATTCATGGAAGTCAAAAATGACCGATGGACCATCTGATTTCTGTTAGCAATGTTACTTATATGATATTTGATTTACGACGGTGTTTACCTTGATCTTAAATTAACAACATGTTTACTATATTCATTGGGAAATTATAACATGTCTAAGTGACTTAAACAAATACAACGTTGTTTATTATGATCTTAAAACAATATAGCATTGTTTACTTTGACGTTATTTAATGTATTTACAATGTGGTTTACTGTGATCTTTGTACACATGCATACTCAGTGTGACGTTTTGGAAATGTGAACTTATAAAACAGATTACAACGTTGTTTGTTATGATCTTAAAATGTACAACCTTTAATCAAAAGATTAACTAGAAATGGTACAAATGTACATGTATCCTTTTTTTTGTTTTATTTTGACATATACTCATTACGTTGATTAGCCTTTAAGAGACATTCATTTAATTAAATTTCCCATGACTCACATGCTATCTTGTATATCTAATCTAAATTTGACTGATTTTTTTCTACAATCAATAAACTTTATTGAATGCGTTTGTTTTTACATATATTTTATGTAGTCAGTACAGTGCGAATTATGCATGGGATTCCAAAGTGGGATAGTTTGGACGTTCAAGGGAAAATAGAAACTTCAAAAATTGTTGATACGTATCTACAGTGTGCCAGGTATTGTCAACAGTCTGATGTTTGCGATGGTATCTTCTTTAACAACACCACAGGATATTGTGCGATTGTTGAAAATAATGATGGAAATGTCATAAAGGATATCATTTTAGGAGAATTTTTTTACCGAAAGAAAAGTAAGTATTTGTTTATATGTGATTTTAATAAAGATGAATGTGGGGCTTTTTTGTTTTGTTATATTGACGCTCATTAGAAGATGTACTTTTGAATACAAGGTATTCTGATCGAGTCACAGGACATTTAAGGAAAAGTATTATAATGGACGACAGCATTTGTTTTCGTTGAAACATTCATAATTGTTCCATGACAAGCTTTGATGCACATAGCAGCATATGCGGGAAATCTGAAACAGATACCAATATGTCTTCTTTTTTCTTTTCTATTTTTGCTTTCCCAGTGGTTTACTCTTTAAAGTAATGTTATACAATGTGCCATTCTCAACTTATATTTATTCAGTTTTTGTTACAAATGCTTGATGACAGGGCATATGTAGAAAATAGCTAAAAATGATAATATTCAACTTTTTGTAGATTGCCTTCATTATGGGTAGGAAAATATATGGCAGTTGAATACTTGCATTATGTTTTATACTACAAAACTAACGTGGAATGATTCACAGCAAAGATGCGTTGAAGACAATGGAAATCTATTATCTGTTGAAACTGCAAGAAAAGACTATTTCTTTTTCCCATTTTTAATTGACAAATATGGTATGTTCCGCCTCAATAGTACTGATTTATAGCAAAGTCAGGGTACGTGCTTTTGAAAAAATAAGACGATACACAAATATTAGCAATACGACGAGCACAAACATCAAATATGTTGTCTGATAATATAAAAAAAACTAAAACTAACAAAAATAAAAAATGTAATATATTATTGAGTAACATTTTTCTAGAGTTGATAAATGGATTAAATAATTGATAGTTTTATTTTGAAATATAAAGTTGTTATTATATAGTAGCAACATATTACATAACAGAACATAAAGAAAAGGTAGCATGCATCTTTGTAAACATTTTAGACTTTATTTGATTAAATATATTATATATATATATACGATAGAGAATGGAAACGGAGAATGTGTCAAAAAGACAACAACCGGAACGAAGAGCAGAAAACAGCCCAAATATAAGGCCATCTATATATTAGTCATACAGCACTTGTTGTGGGAATTAAAACCAAGAATTTTTATTTTCGTCACCAAAAATAATAACTGTACTATATAAGCACTTCCAATGAGCGATAACGTCGAAATCGGATGTCTACACAAAAAATAATGTTTAATTGAAATAGAGGTTAGTCAATTTTTAAACGTATCCAAAGTATATAAATTAACTCATCATAGATACCAGGATTGAAATTTTGTATTTGCGCCAGTATCCGATACGTTGACGTATACGTATCTAGGGGAATATGCTAAAATAATTATCCAAATCGAATATATTACTCGGTGTATTCTTTTTAAAGAATAATGGGGATCAATGTCATATGTCGTACTACCCTTCATTAGTAGATCCCATCTTTTCGTAAAACAATATCATCGCCAATCTAGAAAAAAACTGTGTTTAATTGTTGTAGGTCCCCATGAAATAAAGATCTTTGATATAAAACATAGACTTAAGGTTCATCAAAAAGAATTGAAAAATATGGTCGTGTTTACACCACAAACCTGATCTACTATAAGTACAGACAAACTTATGCATCTAGGAAAGTTTAAAGGCATGGCAGGACCTAGATATAAAAAACAATACGTAGTCTATATTTCAGAAAATTAAAAACTTACCTGGATTTTGATATGTGTTTTTTCCAGTCTGCAGAAGATAGCAAAATAAGCAAACACAAGAGTTTCATTTGATACGGCGCACTCAGTTAAACAGTTTGAATCATCTATTATTTGCAGATGTATATTGTCCATCTATTGGCCATTTAAATCAATACTACGCACACCATTTATTATTTGAGGGGAGCATTTCAAGCCTGTTTCCCAACTTAGTTTATTTTGGCAACTTCTGCAGGAATGTAAAAAATAAATAGCAAAATTCAGAAAAGTTTATAATTTTCTGAAACATAAAATGCATTTGAAATTTAATTATCTAGTTCCTGCCATTCCTTAAAACTTTTCCAGGTATACAGGTTTGTCTGTACTCAGAGTAAAATTTGTGGTGTAAAAACGGCCATATCAGCCAACAAGTGATGATGAACATAAAGGATTATGTTCCTTTTTGTTGTTCCAATGCTAAATATAAAGAAGTTATATATTAAGTTGAAGTGAGGCATTCTGAAATAAACAGATGCAAATTAATCAGTGCCACAAAGTTTGATCCCCAGTTTTCCTTAAACTTGATACATTGAGTAATACTCTCGATCAGGGTAATTATTTGAGCATATTCCCCATATGTCAACGTATATATACTTTGGATACGTTTTAAATTGACCTACCTCTATTAGAAAACAAATCTTGATCAAATCAAATTTGGATAGAAAATGGTCGTCACATTGCATACTTACTGTATAATAGTTTTCCTACATTGATCGCATTTATAAAGTCCGCAATGCTCTTTAACTTTGTACTTTATTTCGCATTTTTGACTTTTTCTTTATTCGAGCTTCACTCATCAGTCTTTTGTAAACAAAATACACGTCATGCGTACAAACCTGTAAGTCTGGTATCTATGATGAGTTTATTCACTTTACAGAAAAAACTGGAATGGTGTTATGGTGGATAGGTGGGACGGATGCATCACAGGAAGGAATCTTCCGTTGGATAAAAAATGGTGAAAATGTTACATACAGTAACTGGGACATAGATCAACCCGATGATGGATCTGACGGTATACCAGGGGCAGACTGTATGAGATACATCATTAAATCAAAGACTAAAGCAACATGGTGGGATCGTGACTGTAACAATGAATTTGCGTTCATTTGTGAAAACAAAATGTTTTCGTTATTATAGATGAGAGGTGAAACTGTTATTTTATCCAATCATCGAGTTATATTGATGACTCATATGTACTTTTATTACCAAACCCCCAAAACGTATTACTATAGTTACTTTTAAATATTGTTCATTTAATAAATGCTGGTACCGAAGAAGACTCTTTTTATCATGTTTAGAACTTACCCCTCTTATCCTCTTTTCCATCTGAAAAACAACTTTCCCAAGGAATAAGTTTTCCCATTATTGATTTAAAGTGTAAAACTGGAATACATTCCTAGCCCAGCAATTTGGAAACTAGCTTGTGTGAGTATAGAAAAATACAGCATTGCACGAAGTTTCCTCTTAAATTGCCAAACAATGAAATAATGAGTTTGGTCAAACATGGTCAGTTAGGGGAAATTCGCCTAATTGCGGACATTTTTTTTTCAAATCCGGAAGTTTGGATACCGTCGAGGCCAATTGCGAACAGCTCACATACTGGTGGTTGCATTTGGCAGAAGAGGATAGAGGGGTATCAAATGAACTATTTCCCGCGTTTTCAGGTCTCCTCTCTTGATTGTTAGATTTAAGACTCTTAAAACCCGCGGAAATGCCGAGTCGTATAAATGCGGACAGGGGGAGTTAAAATACGGACACCTTGTCGTTAAATTGCGGACACTTAGTTTTAATAGTTTTTGCTATTCAAAACGGAGAGATTATGTATATATAACATCACCTTTCATGAAAACCCTCCAGTGCATCTTAAAGCATGTTTGGGAATGGTTTTCTCACATGAACTGGTAATACATGTGGAGAGGTGAGAAAATTAAGATTAAAAAAGTTCAGTAAATATCATAGACCACGCCAATTAATAAATTATATAAGATGCAGAAACTTTTTTGTACTGACAACTTCCATCGTGATATATTGTCTTCCAAGATGAATGCGTGCATACAAATTTATATACATTGTACGTGATATAGTTGGGATAACTTTCAATTTCAAATCCCATGGCATTCATTGCAATGTGTTTTAATGTCCTTATCACTTAAAAATTCTTAGTCCTAGAGCATACGCCGCCTTGAGGCGATATTTTTACATTTGCACTTTCCGATACTTGTGAGATACTTTTATGTATCCTCGGGTTTGTATTTACTCTTTGACAAGTATGATTTTTTGCTGCCCATCAAACGCCATGAACATCTGCACAGTTTATGGAATGAGTAAAAATGCTTATTTTTCAATCGGAAATCAAAAATGGGAAAACGCAAGGTGTGAGGGAAACATGCAAAACTTTAAATTGGAATGTCCGAAAAATTAAATGGGAATAGGGAAAAAATGGAAACCACAAATTTCAGGGAATTATAGAAAAAATTCAGTATTATGAATACTGACCCGTGTCACTCCTCAATGAAGGGCCCTGCCGGCCCAAGTCCAATATCTCCAAAATGATAAGTAAAAAAAAGGAAAGGAGCTTCCCCTAATGGTACTAAATGGTGTGTTCAAATTCTTCAAGTTAAAACCGTCGGAGAAAACTTTAGTTATCCTTCGATATAGAAAGTATAGACGGACGGATGGATAGACAGACAGGGTGATTACAATAATAGGGCACCCACCGAAAGTCTGCAGGCCATAATAAAGAAATAGTGCTAGAGATTGTGGTCACTCATGATGATACCATATTGGTGTTTGTTGCATTTCGTCCCACATATATATACTATTTCTATATAATACCCGGCCGTTCTCTCATGACCAATAATGGCATCGGATTTTATCCGACTGGCGATAGGATAACAACGTGTGCAGAACATGCATGCCTAGTTCGGTGCCTTATATGAAATGTCTCAAACCCAACAGGTTAACGATCGGTGCAAAGGATGATTAATTACTAACATTCATTCATCCATGCAAGTAAAAAAAAAAACGTGAGGTATATGTCGTTCACATTAGAAAATTACCGAACCAACTGTAGTAGATGCAGGTGTTACTGTTTCACCCGAGGAAATAGATGAGGAAGAGGAATAGCTTGCTGAAAAAAAATCATAGAAGTAAACGAGCAAGATATGCCAGAGAAAACCAAGATTTTTGAAGTTTTTTGTTAATAAGTATTTTCCATTTAAATTTTTAAATGATTATTACCAAAGCAAATAATTAATGATTATGTGATAATATTGTAAAAAATTTGGGGATTATGCAATTACTGGGACCTCCCCATGAGGAATCTCGTTTGTTTTTCGGTTTTACACAAAGTTTTTCATTAGTCGGACGGACAGACCGACAGACGACTGGATGTACAAATTCATTACTGTTGGACGCTCGCAGAAAGTCTAAAGAGGTCTTTAAAACCGATGTATTGTTTACTTTATTTCTATCATGTTTTAAAAAGTCTTATTAAAACATTTCTTTCAAAAGAATATCTTTGATATCAATAAGTTCATATGCCTCTTCCGCATTAAGAAGGTCCAACTCTTTACCTCTTCATTTCCCTTACCACTTTCAATAATTTCGCACAGTAGTGTTGATACATATTCATGTTTTTATAACATTAATTTCATAAATAATTAGCCAATAGCATCATTGTCAAATAGCCTCTTGTCTACGAGACATTGTTGCAATTTCATTTGCATGTTGGTCGGTCGTTTTCGGTACATTTGATTTCATTCCATTTCAATTTTGCTCAATTTTGCTCTTGCAAAAGTCCTAAACATGTAGACATTCTGTACAGAAAGAGAAACAGATTGACTTGACATCCCGTGGTTGACATGTTTAGTTTTTGACCTTGTGAAGACGTGTGCAAGTTGTCAACTGGAGTGCAAATCAGACTTGTAAACGCATTATGTTCGTAATAAGCAAAATAAAAGCAAAACAAATCAAACCCAAATCAATACTTTATTGATATAATATATCGTATTCGCACTCATAACACTAGATTCTAAGAGAATTTTGCTAATTTCCCACATCATGGTATTTGACATATGCAACACTGCACGTGTTAGTTGTTCAAAATATCTTGTGTCCGCATTTCATTAACATTATCATTAAAACAAACATCTAATACATACATAAAAGGACAACTTTTTTACATTTAAAAAGTAGTTCGTAAATAAAACCAAAAAAAAATATACATATATAATTTCTAGATGACAACATGTTTTCGTCGGTAAAACATAGAATAAAGGGAACTAGCTAAAAGAGGAACCATATTCTCATTACACATAAGATAACGAAGCTTTTCAATATCGCATAAATACTCAAAATCAACATTTAAAAGACAGGATTTGGCATATAATTCATGTCTGATATCAGAGTAAAAACAACAATTAAAAAGAAAGTGTTTTTCATCTTCAATTTGGCCACTATCACAAAAAATACATAAACGGTCTTGTAGAGGTTCTGGTGGTCTAGCATATCCACCAGTTTCAACTTTAAGTTGTAACGAACCAGCTCTGAAAAGTGACAAAATACGTCGGTGGCATCTATTATTAACAACCTTTACATAAGGCTCCGTACCAATACAAATTTTTAACAATCTATAAAATCTTAATTTATTACCATTGACATTATTTTTATCATTCCATACCTCATGATACCAAGATTCTTTTTCAAAAGTTTGTATAGAATCCCATACATTACTCAAATTAATTTCATCTTCTAAATTTTCAATTAAATTAAATTTTCGAGCTAACTGTAAAACTCTATAATCCCATGAAGATTGTTTCCTTATCGCCCAGGTATGAACCTTTTTACATATATTACTAGTATTGTCACATTTAAGACGATTCCATAGTTTAAAAACTTCAACTTTTAGTAGTGCATCGCCTGATAAAAAACACATATCACCTGTAGCAGCTAAATTGCTGCTTTTCTTGCTTAAGCCTAAGAAAAATTTACAGGCATTGTTTTGCAAACTATTTATACAATTATGTATATTAATGCCCCATACACCGGAAGCATATGTAAAAATGTGTTTGATTAAAGTGTCATATAATTTGTTTGTTTATGAGAATATTTGTTCTTAATTTTCAGATGATGTGTGCAATTAATATTATTAACATGATTAATCAAAACAAGAAAACAAGGCATAATTAATTGTAATTGATTTGATTGAATGTTGAGCTTGCCTAACTTCCAGTGTCAATAAGTTCCTGCATATTTATGACGATAAACTATTAACGATTGATCACTGGGTAGGTTCTGCAAGGTGATGCATCAGAGATGAAGAGCGGAATAGCTGGACTGCTACTAGAAAACAATTCCATGTTAGATAGCATTTTTTCTTAGCAACAGCTGATATTTAAGACTGTTTTAGTATAATCACGAAACGCTTATCTGGTTTACTTAACTATATGTTTGGTGTCTTTAAAAAACGTCTAATGATTGGACAACGAACGTTTGCCAAATCTCAAATGGATAATTCCTAACTGGAAATGTCTATTGACAAACATGTATTTGAACAAGAGTAACAAATTGTTTGCTCTATTTGTGTTGGAATTGCTCGACCTTTCGGAAAATTTAAAATCAGCCCCAAATTATTGTTGTTTTTTTTTAAACAGTTATTAGTCTTCTGTGTAATGTTAAACTGTTCTTTGTCTGTTCATTTGGCCATGGTTTGTTGGTCTTTCTTCAAACCATTGTTTTCAACTGTTCCTGGTATAGTCTCCTTATCTGAGTCACTGGTGAGTGAACGTAATAAAATATATGAAAATAGTGGAATTAATTATTTTTGAAGTGTAAAAAATTCTTTGGATGTTTTAGATAAATTACGTGCTTTTGATGGTCCTTTTGATTCTGTTGACAGTTTTGACTTTTCTACTCTTTACACTACACTTCCACGCAATCTTATCAAACAAAAAATTGACTATTCAATTAAATGGTCGTTTGGTAAATCTGAATGCAAATATATTTGCTGCAACTCATTTAAAGCCTTCATCTCTAATGAGAAAGAAGGTAAATATGCTAGATATACTTACTGGAGGTGTGATGAGATGATTTAAGCTGTTAATTTTCTCCTTGATATATTTATGTACGTTTCGGCAGCAAAGTTTATCGACAGGTTGTATGTATTCCTATGGGCACTAATTGCGCCCCTTTAATAGCAGATTTGTTTTTGTACTGTTATGAATCACAGTTTATGACCAAACTCAGTAAAGATCCGTCTAAATTGCATTTAATTGATAAATTCAACAACACTTACCGTTATCTTGATGATATTTTTTCGTTAAATAATGAAGAATTTTCTCAATATACTGCCGAAATTTACCCAAAGGAACTTACTTTAAATAAATCAAATTTAAACGGTAACAACTGTCCTTTCCTAGATTTGGATATTTCGGTTTTACACGGGAAACTTTACACTAAAATTTACGACAAAAAGGGACGATTTTTCAATCCCTATTGTTAATTTTCCCTTTTTGGATGGTGATGTTCCTTTGGCACCATCTTACGGTGTTTATATTTCACAACTCGTTCGCTATGCCCGTGTCTATTGTGACGTTTTTGATTTTAACGAACGTAATCTATGTATTAATGGTAAATTATTAAGCCAGGGAGTTCGTTACCACAAATTACTTAAAACCTTTACTAAATTCTTCCACAGATATAAAGATTTGGTTTTGAAGTTTGGTTGTACCTGTAGAAAACTTATTTCAAACGGGATTGCACATCCTCATTTTTACGGCAATATTGTTTACCGTGCCCGGAAATTTAGAAACAATCCTGGTAAACTTATCGATCCTTTAAATAAACTTATTCTAAAAGGTTACCAATTCAACACTGTAATTAGGTCATTAAATATTGTTTTTATTGGTACTAATATTGATTTTGTTATCAGTTAATTAAAAGCAAACTAAATATTATTGTTATTTACATATACACATTCATGGATCTACCATCTGTCGATACCTGTATCTTGGCATTGCACAAGGTCATGTTTTTCTCTGACTGTTTATGACGTCTTTACACTAAATCCATTGGATGTTGGATGTGTACGGATTGATAATTTAGTCTTAGATGCATGATTTTTTTATTAGTTGTTAGTGGCTTTGAACTAGCTGTCACTAACTGCGAGTACTCTCAGATCTGTACTTTGTGTCTTTTTGTTGTTTGGATGTACAAGTACCCGGCCACGTCCACTTGTATTTGTATTATTTGTATTTTTATCCATCTGATGAGTTAAGCCTCTTTCAACTGATTTTTATAGTTCTTTCTTATGTTGTACTGTTACACCACTGTCCCAGGTTAGGGGAGGGTTGGGATCCCGCTGACATGTTTAACCCGCCACATTCTGTATATATGTGCCTGTCCCAAGTCAGGAGCCTGTAATTCAGTGGTTGTCGTTTGTTTATGTGTTACATATTTGTTTTTCGTTCATTTTTTGTACATAAATTAGGCCGTTAGTTTTCTCGTTTGAATTGTTTTACATTGTCATTTCGGGGCCTTTTATAACTGACTGTGCGGTATGGGCTTTGCTCATTGTTGAAGGCGGTACGGTTACCTATAGTTGTTAATTTCTGTGTCATTTGGTCTCTTGTGGAGAGTTGTCTCATTGGCAATCATACCACATCTTCTTTTTAATATGTACACGACAAGTTGGAGCCAGAAACATTCATACTAAATAGGTATTTATGATATATTTCCTTTATCTTTACTTTAACTCTACATTATCATTACTTTATCATTACCTTGTCTTTACTTTATCTTTACTTTAGCATTACTTTATCTTTACTTTATCTTTACTTAAGCATTACTTTATCATTACTTTATCTTTATGTTATCTTTACTTCATCATCACTTATTTAACTTTTATTTTATCTTCCAGTAATATATATATCAAAGATCAAACATTTTCTAGACTTCTGTTATTTTTTGGAGGATTTAAAAAAAAAATTAATGAATGAATATTTACACAAAATGACAATTACTATAACGTAGAAAATGAATCTACTAAAAGACAAACAAAGAACAGTCTTGCATCCAAACCCTACAGAGTGAAATTTTCATATCTTCTCTCAATTATAAAATGGTTAACTAAAGCTGTAAATCTGTCACCTGATGCTGATAAAGGGTCAGATAATAATACTTAACAAACAGATGTTTAAAACAAAAAACTGAGTTTGTAATAACAGTAGAGATGATAATACACAATGTGTCCAGTTTCTGATATTACCATTCCAGAACAGGAACAATGAAATTAATTGAAATTTTGATTATTTTAACATTTTAATAACTACTCATGGAAATTAAATATTAAAAAGGATGAAGGAAAGTTTGTGATGTTATATTTCCCTACACATAAAAAAAAATTGAAATTTATATTTGTCTTCCTATAATTTTTAATTTGTATTACATGTTTACATTTGTAGTTAACTAAATACATGTATTCACATTTGTATTTACTACTAATTCACTCATGCAACAATTACCACCAATTATCAAGAAAACTAAACATGTGGTATTCATCAACTAACAAACTTATAATTGGAGTGACAAATTTATTTGAAAATTTTGTGTTTTCTAAGTGGTGTTGGTGATAAGCTGATTTTCAATCCAACATCATTTTGATGCAAATTCTTGCGCATAGTTGTAGGACTGAGAAGTAAAAATAGCAGTCTCAGAAAAAAGTATAAAAGAGAAAAGAAATTGTCTATGATATATTTTGAGTTTAATAACAAAGTTTGAATTACTATATATCGAACCAATCTCGGTTTTGCGATACTTATTAATAAAATTGAGAATGGAAATGGGGAATGTGTCAAAGAGACAACAACCCGACCATAGAGCAGACAACAGCCGAAGGCCACCAATGGGTCTTCAATGCAGCGAGAAACTCCCGCACCCGGAGACTTCCTTCAGCTGGCCCCTAAACAAATATGTATACTAGTTCAGTAATAATGGACGTCATACTAAACTCCAAATTATACACAAAGTGTACGTGTATCATTAGTTTACATAAATGTAAGAAAGCAATTAAAAAGAACACCTTGTGATCATTGCTTTTCATACTAGCCTTGACCTTCGCGAATCATAACAAATTATGTGCCACTATGTTAATTAATAAGATCTAATATACTGTAGATTCATCATTAGTCGTGGAAAAAGAAATAAAATATTCAACAAAGTAGACATTTTTATAGGCTTGTATGAAGAAGTTTGCTATGATACAAAAATACAATATGTTCCCTCAATTCTCGAAAATTGGTACTCATTAGAACAATTCATTGCACAGTAGGTGTGAGAGAAAAAAGATACTAACGAACATTCACAACAAGTCTAGAGAAATTGTCAAAGTCATGGCAGAAAAAACGAAAGACGACGAATACGTCCATAAATATATTATAGAAACTCACTTTTGTAGAGTCTGGGCAATACGAACCTCACAAGAAAACCATATTGGCCTTTCCAATATTTAACTTTTTAACTCCAATACAGTTTATATGCAGAGTAATATTTTGGATGGCTTAATAGTTATACTACAAAAAAAAAATCAATTTTCAACAAAATAAGCTATAAAACGGCAAGCATTTTAGAAAAGCTATTTGTTGTTAAATTACTATATCAAATTTGCGGATAAAAAAGTCTTTTCCGTCTCGGATCTAAAACTAATGTATCTCCGGAAACTTCCTTTGTGAATTGTGTTGTGTAAATTTTGATTGATTTGGATTTCATATAATACTATTAATAGGTTATTAGGTAAACGTCCAATTTTAAAGCTCCCAAACCACACTAACACTGTATCAGAAACTTGGTAAGTCAAATATTCGTTTACAATCTAAATTTAGAGCTGTATTGCACAATTCAATCTAGTACAAATAATTATCACTATTTTTCTGGGACGTTTTATTATTTTTTTTTGGGGGGACGCCTTCCTACGTAGGTAGGCGTCCCAGAAAAAAAAAATAGCTTTGCAAGACGTCAGACTTATTTGGACTTATTTCAATCTGTCATAGAAATTTCAGTGGCGAATTCAGAACTCTTTATAACAGTTATAAGGGGGACTGTCAACGTATATTTTATATTTGTTCCGCCTAACAGAAGTTCTACTGGAAATTTTGTTATAAACAATGTCATAATATCTGTTCCTGTTGGAACAAATATTCTACACCATTTATTCCGTTAGGAACATATACTGTAATATTTATTCCAGTGGAAATAATATTCCAGAATATTTTTTCCATTTGGAACTAATATTATGAAGGAACTTCTATTTCGTGACAGGACCATAGACCAAATTCTTCTGTCCCTATAAATTATGCATATATTTCCTTATTTGCATTTGCTTTTTATTGCTTTTGCCATTTTTTTGGTGCAATATAGAGACAGAAAGCAGTGTCCATTCAAAACAGGAGATTCGTGTACATACATGTAGGGCAATATAGGGAGAAGTGAAACTGAGAGAATACAATAAAAGTAACAGTTAATATTCAAAGTTGTTTAATTTAATCATATCTAGTTGCACAATCATATTAGTCCTCTTATCAGAAAAAAACTGTGAAATATAAAGCAATAATTAAAAAATATTTGTTTCATATCAAAAAGGAAAAGAAAGTTGTTATATCAACTAAAATTTAAAAGAGGGTGGTAAAGGGTTATTTTTGTGCAACGTTTTCGGCCTATTTATTTCAAGTGTTTTCGTGTTTTGACGTTTTATTTCTCGTTTTCTTGTGTTAAGTTTGATGTGCATGCCGTATTTCGTGTTGGTACTCTTTATTTCTCATGCTTGTCCCACATTTGATTCAAAGGTAAACCAGGCTTATTCAATTTGGCTTGGATATTGTATATGAATGGTATGCAATAAAGTTCTTGAAATTACTATGAATAATATTTGTTTTCAACGAACAGACGCTAAAACATGTAAAAGGTGAAGACAGGGTCTTTATTTCTATTAATAAGACTGCATGATCTGAGTAATAATTTCTAGTACTTTTTTCATTAATATTTACTATTTTATTTCTCGTGCTTTGTTTTTCCAGATTTTTATTTTCCGTGCAACGTTTTTGCGATTTTTATTTCAAATATTTCCGTGTTCAGGAACCTCCTTTACATGTACCACCCTCTTAAAATGTACTCTGTTATCATGTTTATGAAATTCAGTGTTTCTCATTAAAAAGATATATATATAAATTTAACACAGTTAAGCTTGGACAAAGTATAAAAGTCCCAGAGATGAGCAATTCTAATTTATAAATTGAAACAATGCATATACATGGAAATATATACATTAATCTAGTAGATCTAACCAAAAGTATGTTAATGTGCGTGGAATGTGTAATTTTTCCTTTTGGGATCAATATTCCTCTGTCAGCTGTGCCATTCATTCGTCGGTAGTCATTATCGTTTGAATCCGGATTTCCGTCTTAGCTGGTCCGGTTCTGATCAGTACAAGCAGTAGTTTACAAATATTTCAGTGGCGAACAAAGAAAATTGTAACAAAATAAACAATGTTTGACACACTGTTTGGTAAGGAATTTGACGTTTTTAATGCAATACATGGATAACAAATTTACTTCAGGCAAATTTTATCACATTCTAATGCAGTAAAAATTTAGAATGATTTGATGTACGTTCTGGAGTAACAAATACCAGACATGTGGGAAGTGATAAAAATTGTTTTTATGAAATAACATGCAACCAACTTCAAAATCAATGCTCGTTTTTGATTTGTCCACTCTTTAGTATCCAGGAGTTATACAAATTTTATTGATTATAATTTGAAATATTCAGTTTGAGTTATTTCCCTTTGAATAGAAAATTAATAAGTATATATGTGTGTTTCATTTCACATGTATATATATCATGTATATAGGGTTCTTTCAGAAGCTGAATCTAAACCTTTATTTAATTATATCATGTAGATAATAATCTATTTTTATTAAAGGATATATTTCATTATATAACGTTGTGTAGATAAAGTTGTTGACATTGATGGATAAGTTGCAGATCTATATTAGTTTGTGACAAATGAAAGAAAAAATATTGGGAACTATTAATTATACCTCCGCTTTAAAAAAGTGGGGGTACATTTGTATACTGTTTAACCTCTGTCTATCTGTCCGTCCATCAGTCCTTCAGTCTGTCCTTCCGCCCCATTAATATTTTTTGTCGCATTTTCTCAGGAACTACAATACAAGGATTTCTGAAATTTGGTTTCAGGGTTTATATAAGTCAGCTATACTGTGTGATGAGTTTTCAGATTCATCACTCAACAACTTCCTTTATTGAACACTTGTATCATTTTACACATGATAGCCAAGTTGAAAATCTTCGTCACATTTTCTCAGGAACTACAGTACAAGGATTTCTGAAATTTTAATTTCAGGGTTTATATACAGTACAACCTGTGACTTCCTCTTAGTTATGTCCACCCTCTTGTATGGTCACCATCTAATGGTGGCCATTTATTGGGGTATTCAATCTTGAGATGTTGGCCATTTATTGGGGTCATAAAACATAGGTTAATGTTTTATTTAATTATGTTACCTGTTGAAATCAATCAGGGTTGAAGTTTTCAGCTTGTATGTTTCATTAAAATTTACCTGTACAGGTAACTCAGGTTTCTTCTCAAATTGACATATCACCTTTTCTTTAAAATGTAGAATAGAATGTTGTTTTAGTCTTTGTTAATTCATATCATTTCTTGATTTTTCTGTCTTTAAATTTACATATTTTCCTTTTTTTATGATGTTATTTTTTTATTTGTTTTTTTGCTTCTTATTCTTTTAATTTCTTCTTGGAAAGAATCTTGAGTAGAAATGACAAAAACTCAAAGATAAGTAAAGTTATTGACTAGCATTTGAAAATAAAACCATGAAAACAGAGAATCCTTTAAATAATTATTTTTACAGTAAAAAAAAGTTATTGTACATGATGTACATGGTATTCAATTGTTTGTTTTCATTACTAAATGAATTATTATTAATTATAACTTATAATCATGCAAATGATATGTTTAAAGGAACCATGAAGCAAGTAATTTAACAAGCCTGTTTCTTAACTAATTAAAATTATCAATATCATGAATATCAATCCTTTTACAATAAATTTTGTTAACAAAGTTGTACAATCTATTTTCATGATTATTATCCAGGAAAACTAAAAATATCATTATATGGTATAGGAATAAACTATTTTTGTTTATCCTTTATATTTTTCCAAATCTCAAAACTCGAGTTGTGCATGACAAATCACTAGAGACTTAAATTTTCCAAATGGCTACCTAGTTACCATCAAATTTTGATATATGCTAATCATAATGAAAAATGTTCTTATCTCTATATTGAGCTGAATAAAGTAAATCTTATGAAAAGAAATTATTTAAAGAAAAAATTGTCTTGCTTTTTGAAATAATTGTAAACTTATCAAATATGTTATCTTCAGTTTGGCTAATTTTGTCAGTTAACAGGCAAAATTTGTCTCCAGAAAAAATAAAGTACACTTCTATCATGTCTATATAGATTGTGACATTTTTATGGTCTATTAATTAAATAACTTTTTGTTCTGTGTATTATATTGTCGAAACTGCAGGATTGGCATATGCATGATACATATTCTTGGTATACATTTACAAAGAATATTTCACTCAACTCAGGCCTTTTAGATAAAGTTAATAATTGCAGGGACTTGAATGAATTAGATTCTTTAAAGCCCTTGATTAAAAATGAATTTTAAGAAAAAAAAATAAGAATATTTTTGAAAATAAAATAAAAACTTATGATGAAAACAGTAAACTCAAATGCTTCACGCAGTAAAGAATTAATGATCATAATTTAGAAATAGAAAATGGTGGATAAAAATTCCTATAAAGGATAGAATTGTTTGTAAAATCTATTTGAAAATTGTTTACTTTCTCATAATTATGTCTCTGACCAGTTTATGAATAAAATCTTGAATCTTATGAATAAAATCTTAACCAAGAACAAAAAGCAAAAGAAATGCTAAACCTCTATAACATGGAACATGTTTAAAATATTGGCTCCTTTATAAAAAAAAAGTCATTAGAACTGAGGATAAAACCTAATAATTTTTTTCCATGTGTTTTGATTTCTTATAAAATTGTTATTTCTTTGCATTATAATGATTGTTTTTGTTTTTTTTGTCAGAAACTTGATTAAATTGTAATATGTTTATATGACAACAAAAATATTATCAAATTTTTCTGTAATGAATATTTTGAATATACATGTATTTATTCAATAGAGAAATAATGAATTGCCTAAATTTTATTTAGAATAAGTCCTAAAGATCATCTTAAACATTTGTTTAACCATGTTAAATGCAGTAAGTATAAACAATTTTCATTTTAGAAAATTAATTTGAGAAACACCTTTTCAATGGAAAAAGGCAGGCGTTGTGAAAGTTTGCATTATATTAGAAGATGCTATTCATTTATTATTCACTTGCCAAAAAATACATGTAAAAAATAACTTAAATTGATAGAATTATTTAAAAGGTATAACATCAAAACAAACAGTCATGAGAAAAATTAATGTTTACAAAAAAAAAGTTAGGAAGCTATGTGTTCAACTAGTTTTATTATTTCATTTTATTTTAGAATTTTCTTGTCATAATCACAGTTATTAAATTTGACAAACACATATATTTTACCTGAGACACTTTACCATGTTTACCTTTGAGTTAAACACTTCAATGCAGTCATGATTTTCCTTTATCCTTGACTAGTTTTTGATTAATACCTTGTGTATTAATTAAGCAACAGGAGGTATAATGATGGACATTAAGGGCCATCAT